AGCTTTATCAATCCCTTTGTTTCAAACTCAAATAGGTTTCTATCTTTACACCTATTTGAGTTTGAGGGGGGGTTATACACAGTATCATGTATAAGTCGCCCATGGCGCACTCCCTAAGTCACCCCCTTGGTGCACCACCCTCCCTAAAAGGATTGAATTAGAGCGTTGCAATAATGAGAGTGGGAATAAAGATGTGTTCAATACAGTAATTCTTTATTGCCTAAGCCACTGGGGTTTACATGCACATGGATAAAGTTCACAAATGCAAACTACTCTTAAAACATCATCACAAAAACATAATTAAGGGGGAAGGCAAGGGAATAATCCGATCACCTTCGCAGCACAGTAATTGGCCCCGGGTAATTGTTCAGCGAGCAAACGGCGATGATGGGAAGTAGTTTCAGTGGTGTTAGAAGAAGAATCCCCTTGGTGGGAAGAAGATTGTGATGAGAGCTTACAAGGAAGGAGGTGATGGGTAACACTCTGATTAACACATATCTTGATTATACTGCCTTGGAATACAGTCAGAAGTAGCGAAATAAACCCTAACACCATCAACTCTGCTCCCAACCCACATTTACATAAATAATATAATAATTAGACTTAGAAAGAAACAAAATTGAGAGAGAATAGAGTTTGTAATAATTTCAAACAACATGAAATTTTAGTCACCTTCTTTGACTTTCTGTAAAGCTTCAAAGAGGAGCCTTCGTTTCTTCCTCTGCAGATACTGCAATTATATATATATATATATATATAGTGTGAAATTGATAAACTTTCTAAATTGAAATTCACAGTAAAAACAGAACTGATTATAAATATAGATATAGAGAGATTGCCTTTCCGGTTGTTAATGTTATTGTAAATTGTATAAATTTACCACCACCTACCACACACTTACCATCACCTACCACACACTCACCTACTACACTCACCTACCACCACCATCCACTACACCTACATCTATATAAAATAAAAGCCATAAAACTTCAAATTCCAAAAATACACTCAGAGAAAGTAGCAGTAGCACAGATGATCAAGTCATTGGATTTACTGTGACAAACAATGTTAATGTAAATTGTATAAATTACCACTACCTACCACCTCCACTACCATCTACACCTACCACTATCACCTACCACCTACCATCTTCTTTTCTATATATACAGTTGTAATACATCAACAAGATATCAATCAATATATATCAATTTATTTTACATGGTATCAGAGCAAGGTTAAAGATCTTGGTGTTCTTCCTCTTCCGGCGGGCGGCAACCTTGCCTTGACCGCCCGCCGGATCTCAACCAATTCAAACCCTCCCCCTGCTCCGTTGGTATCAACGAGTTTCTCTTTAGGTAACAATATCACAGGGAACAGTTTGATCTTCCCATCGTCAGCAACAACGACTGGATCTGCACCTTGAGTAATCACAGTAATTCTCTTGTGTCTTCACATTTCATCACTGCCAACACACAAGCTTCATGTGCTACAGGCTCTGCTTCCGCTTAGCATACACAGCTCTCTCAAAACAAAACAAAACAACACACACTCTCTCTCTCTTCTAAAGCCCTCTCTCTTCCAGAGGACGAGGCAAACAACAATAACATGACTTCAATTTCTCCGCCCCTGCCCCAATCCCTGTCTCTCCTCCGCACCATCTCCGCCGCCTGCCGCCGTACCTGCGACTTCCCCCTGTCTCCACCTCCGCCACTCGGTGTTTCCAGCGCCTCTCCGGACCTCGCAGATCTCTCGCCGTCGCCTTATTTCTTGATCTTGATCTTCTTGATCAAGAGAGAGAGAGAGAGAGGTAGTGATGGAGAAAGAGGAGGACATATGGAATCAGAAGAAGCAAACCCTAATTGAGGAAGTGTCCGAGAAGCTCATCAATGGCGATCTCGATTCCAAGATTCAAGCCGCCAGAGACATCCGGAAGTTAGTCAGGAAGTCCTCCGTCAAGACTCGCTCCAAGTTCGCCGCCGCCGGAGTCATACAACCCCTCGTTTCCATGCTCTTCTCTCCCACCTTCGAACCTCGCCAAGCTTCTCTCCTCGCCCTCCTCAATCTCACCGTCAGAAATGAACGAAACAAAATCAGGATAGTAACATCCGGTGCCATCCCCTCTCTTGTTGAGCTCCTCAAGTTCCAGAATAGCAGTTTAAGAGAACTAGCAACTGCCGCCATTTTAACACTCTCAGCTGCCGAACCTAATAAGCCAACAATAGCAGCTTCCGTAGCCGCACCGCTTCTTGTTCAGATCCTCAGTTCAGGAACCATTCAAGGAAAAGTCGATGCTGTCACAGCCCTCCACAACCTCTCCACGGGTTCAGAAAACCCCACTCATTCTCTCTCTCCTATTTCTACTTTCCAACCGACCATTTTTTTTTTAATATTTCAACCCACTTTTTTTTTAATATTTCAACCAACTCCACTTGCCATCATGATGCTTATGTTGAAAGCATCCCCACTCTCCCAATTCCCCCACTCATTCTCTCTCTCCCATTTCTGCTTTCCAACCGACCTTTTTTTTTAATATTTCAACCCACCTTTTTTTTTAATATTTCAACCAACTCCACTTGCCATAATGATGCTGTAGATAGCTGTCATTCGCTTGGATCTTTCTTATTCTTATTCAACATTGCACAAACAAAAAAAAAAAAAAAAAAAAACACACAAATACCACAGAACCACGGGACTTGCCATCTTGCCCATTAATACATTATTATTATTATTCTTCTTTTCCAAAAAAAAAAAAACAAAAAAAATCATCACCGTCGCAACTTTAATTTTTTTAACTTGTGTGCCGCTTTTCCCAATTTGCAGCAACAGCCAATAGTTTTATTTCCTTCATAGTCGGGGCTGCACCCCGATCAGCATATTTTCCACATTACAAACCACCAAACCACAAAAAAAAACACAAACCACGAAAAAAAAAAAAAAAAAAAAAAAAAAAAAAAAAAAAAAAACAAAACAAAACACAACCATTGGCATTCTGTTTCCTGTTTTTCTGCAGACGGCCACACATATCCGACATCCCTTCTCTACATCTGCGCCGTCTTTTTTCTCTTGCCTCCATCCCCTGGGCGGCCCTTGCCTTGTTGCCTCCGGCTTTCCCACTCCACTGGGCAATGACTCACTACTCCCCCTGCTCCTCACCTTGCAAGCATATGACGGCCCTCCAAATCGGAACATCAGGCTGGCCTTCCGCTTCACGCTCCTTGTTTTTCTGCCCTAGCACGCCTTCATCTCTACTCGCCGCACCTTATACATGCGTTGGAGCAGAGCAGCTGGAGTTTTAACTGCTGGACCTCATTTGTCCTACTCTGTAAGCCGGTGTTCGACAGATTTTGTGACCAGCCGTCATGGACTCCACACATGCCATTCACCGTATACTGATTGGCTCCACACTACCGAACTGGCACTCGCCATTTTTTGCTCCACAAGACCGCATCGGAAGTTCACGGAGCAAAACCCAGGGCGTGTTTGGTTGAAGGTTCACTGGCCACGCACCAGCTTCTTCTCTCCTGTGGACTCGTTGAGGTCGGAAAGAGGGTAAGAAGCCGCGGGAAGACGAAAGCCATTTTTTTCTGGGCAACAGAGTGTTATAGAGAGTGTTACAGAAGTATCTTCTCAGGCAAAACTTCTCAGCAAAACGAAGAGTTTTCGAGGATTTTTCGCCATATTGTTTTGTCTTACGCCTCTGCTCAGCTGCTGTCTGGTTTAAATAGCCGAGGCACCCCACGCGACAATCGCCGCGTCCTCTTCTCGCCGACAAACTGGCAACGCCTTTTCAATGGCACCGCACTTTTGATGCCTCGGGCACGCCTTTTGATGACCCGCCTTTTAGTGCGGGCACAACCTTTGCTGGGCACGACTTTTGAGGGCTCGATATTACATCCATGTATATTTTGGGCAGGCCTATATACACACTCACAAGTGTCTTCTACACCGATCAGCTTTATCAATCCCTTTTCAAACCTCAAATGCAGGTTTCTTATCTTCACCTATTTGAGTTTTGAGGGGGGGTTAACACATATCCATGCTTATAAGTCGCCATTGGCGCACTCCCTAAGATCGCCCCCTTGGTGCGACCAACCACCAATTTTGCCTAACAACGGTCCCGACATGGACCCCATACAACTGTCCCGACATTGATTCCCGGTCAGCTGCTACATCGGTCCGAACATGACTCGTAAATGTCTGCACACAACGGCTCCGCATGACCCGTAAACTGTCCTACTCAACATCGGGTCCGACATGACCCCGTAAACTGTCTTCTACAACCGGTCCGACATACCCGTAAACTGTCTTCTACAACGGTCCGACTACCCCGTAAACTGTCTTATCTTACAACGGTCGAACATGACCCCGTAAAACTGTTCTGACTCAACGGTCCGACATGACCCCATAAATCTTTTACATTTCGGTCTGACACGACCACACCAGTGTCTCTACAACGGATACCCGACATGACCCCGTAAACTGTCTGCTACAAAACGGTCCGACACGAGCATACCGTGTCCTCCACACGTTTTGTTTTTATTTATCAGTTACTTTCTGTTTTGTTACTTCTTTCCAAACTACAAGTTGGTAGTTCCTATCCTCCTTGAGATTTGAGGGGGGCTGTTATGTACACTAAACAAACCCACTACCTAACCCACCTACCACCCCCCACTAAAACTAAAACAGCTTACCATCCTCCACTACCACCCACCACCTCCCACTATTTTTTACCGATCCACTTACCTAACTCACTCACTTACCTTCACACCTCTCCATATATAATAGCACTTGAACATACAATACAGTACACTACAGATCATCAAACAATTGATATCATCAATATTCTATTCCATTATACAAAATGGCAAAGGTGATTTACAGAAGGTCTTCTCAGAACTAGACTTCCAGTGTCACATTTATTTCTCCCTTGAAAAGCTACTTATAAAAAAATAGCACGAGACTTCTGTTTAAAATAGTGATTTGGGAAGAGTAAGTGTAGCTAGTCTTAACTGATTCTTGAATTTGTTTTTTTGGATTATGTTAGGTTTCGCGTAAGTTGAGATCCGAAGCCAAGCTCTTTACTTTGGTTCGAGATCAATTCACTGACAGATAACCAGTCTAAGTTTGGTGATTCTGAGATCTTTGGAGACTCCAAAGACATACAGCATGATAGGTGATTTGCAATTCGAGAAATGACAGTTTCAATAGTTCCTGTCCAGAACACAAAAATTTCAATCTCGAGTTCATTTTCTTTTGGCTCACGGAGCGGTTGTCCGGTAGGAGAGGCCGGTTGGGCCTTCTGCTCCGCATTAGCCACTTGCTTTTCCAGTGTGATCTCTAGTCCTGCAGCTAAGTAGCAAAAAAAACTGTCTGTTAGCGCAATGGGTAATGAAGCCTTACCAAACCGACTCCACCCAAATCTCCCTCAATCTAAGGCCTGGTTCTTATAGTCAATTTGTAACTAGAAAAATTCTTTGATGGTAGATGAATCTGGACAAGCTCATCAAACAAATTCCCCTATCTGGCCGTAAATGGCTCACACTACAATGTCATTAAAACATCTACTTCTCAACTTCTCTTCAGGTCTTTTGTGCCTCTAATATTCTTTGACAAGGTTGGTGTTTCCAATTCATTGCATTCTGATGCTTAACTACTTGTGTTCGATTGCAGATTAAGTTGATTCGGTTTAATTGGAGGGTATTAATCGTGTGTACAAATGGGGCTTCTTCCAGTGTGGGTTGAGTTTTCCGTGTGGCGGTGAACGGTGTTGAAGTCTATGCATATAGAGAAGCACTGGAAGGATTTCACACAGAGAGTATTGATTATACATCGAGCTCATTGAAGCATAAATTAATCATATCACTTCCTTCTGTCTTTGTTGAATTTTTTGTGTTGAAGACATGAACTTAATTCTCTGTTTTATGATTTTGTTCTGTGAGGAAATCTAGGAGGAATCCTACATGGTAAATCAAATTTTTTTTTTTCTTTGGAGTATTTTCTTCTTCCATTACTATTGTATTAGGCCTGTCAACTGATCGGATTTAATTCTAAATAGCCGATTCCAATTAACAACAAATTCGTTCGGCTTTTTTTTCGATTTTTTTTATCAGATTTGTCAGAATTGGATCGATTTTGGTTCGGATATGTTTTTATGATCAATATTTTGGATTCGGATTGATAGGCCAACTTTAAGGATGGAGATTTTTGGAATTTTATGCTAATCTGTGTTTTTGATTCTCTTGAGACAGTGTAATTAGCAAAAAAACTATTCTGTATTTTGTCCTGGGTAATTTTGATGATCTCTAAACTAGTCTGTGAAATTATTGCTTGAGCCCTAATTACTTTGCACAATGAATTGTTGCTCTGGCCCGTTCATTCTACAGAGATGGTCAAGTCTTCAAACATTCTTCCTCTCTAATGAGTGTTTGTTAACGAAGGTGGTAGTTAGATAGTACAGTTGAATGCCATACAAATGTTGTCAATTCCCCCAAGCATATGTATGATTTTTCATTTCCTATCATCAGGCTATCTCTATGATTTGTGGCTTAGCAATATAGGGGACCGTCATACCAATTCATCTTTCCTCTACCGTAGCAGACGCTTTTGGGCTTTTGTGTAGTAGCACTGCTCACTGATGTTATTTACAATGTGATAGTGGCAAGTCATCTTACAGTATCTCAACCTTGTGTCTTGACTCTTTGTGTATTTGTTTCTTCATTTAATTTTTACTCTGTCTATAAGTTAAATCTATCACTTCCTTCTAT